CGTCTTGCACTTCGGTCACAAATATTTACTTGCGGGATGCCGACGCGTCCAGATCGTGCATGTTGCAACCATCAGGGATAAGAACTTGACTGTAAGCCGGGCGTATGCTTTCTGTTTGTGTTAATATTAGGCGGAAAGCCTTCTATGTATTTGATGTTAGGTGCAATTAACGACCGACACAAAACACTTTTCATTGTATCTGCGAAGCAAACGATACCATACGAATCGATGACACATATCTCTGGATCATCCAATGATTCACCTTGTAAGTAGCATTTTTAATGCATAAACATACCACCGCTCCTGCTTTGACGATCATGTTAGGACAGTGTCATTAGTTGCATTGCGCCGACGGCATCTGTAACTTATGAGAGCAACCGTCTTGGTTTTGGAAATAAGGTCCCAAACGTTAGTTGCCTAGCACAACCGAAGCCCTGCGATTTTCCTTAAAAGACCCTGGGCGTTTGCCTATATTACGAACATATTTTGCTTCTCTGCGGCGATCTGAAAGCAAGTTGGCTACAATGACAGGTTGCGTCGACTGTTATATGGTCGGCCGGTGTCCGTTTTTGGTGGTATTAGCATCCAGTCGATTGCGCTTGAGTTCAAGATTATCGTAACTTGGCTTTCTGTCAACATGGTTTGCACCATGTATGCATAGCGGTTGCTTGATTGTATTGGAAGTACATAGCTGTGTTCCGACCTGTTACCAGTTTGATTTTCGGATGCTAATCCACATTTGTTTGCCTGTTGCTTTGATGTTTTAATTCCGGTGAAACCTTTGTCTGTGACTTTATACCGGATATCTGTTTGCATTCTGTTAAGAAGTGAATACCATAGATGTTGTAGCTTAAGCGTAATCTGTCTACTTTTTTAGCCCAAACAACATTATACTAGGACACACTTTTCGGGGCTTGCTGATCTTGAAACCTTGAGAGAAAAGTAGCCGCAACATCATCCAAATGCAGGATTTCACTAATATAAATTCGCTGCTTATAGATACGAGCCTAAGCTCCGAATTCGTTCTTATCATGAGACAGCAGGACGCCGTAGACAACATTTTTAAATATGTTGCCGTTAGGCGCTTGCTTGTGCTCTCCACATGGAATGTTAAGTAATAAGCAGATCAAACAGCTTTCGTAATTCAGACGAGCTGTCGAAAGCAACACTGCTGCCACCACATCAGCATGGTTTAATACTATCAGAAGAAGCTTAGCTTAACTATAATGCTTATTATTTGGGTGGCCTATGATACCTGTCAATTCGGAAGGCCTATTTGACTTAGCGACCAGGTTGCTTAATCTGTTACAGGGTTTAAGTCATCCAGTTGTTTCTCCTTTAAATATTACGTTGGTGAATCAACAACGTTGGTACATAGTATTGACACGGCACCTCACTTTTTCTGAGCGTCTCTCATTGGATAATTGGTCGTGGTTAGAACGACGAATGATTTGCTACGCATCACAGCTGCGTTGTCTCTAGCATTAGTTTTCATTGTTGCAGCAAATATTCTTTCTCTGCTTTTGGCATATTTTAGATGCAACCATGTCTCAGTTGTCACAGATATTGGCATGTTTCCTGGGATTCGGCAAATCCTGGTGGGTGTATGTGGTGAACGGGCTTGTGGAGAAGTGTTCGGAAAGGCTGTGTAGATTTGAGGTAGTGGTGTTGTTTAAAGGAGTAACTTATTTGGCCTATCATCCCGGCTTATGGAGTTAGCTTACAGCGGAGATCTGTAAGGAAGGCATAGATGCCATCATTCGGCCATGATCGTTCTTAATGAAACTCTTTTGGTGTCTATAACCTGCTTGACCACATCTGTCAGTCTATCATATTTCCGAGACAGTGCATTTAGTGTCTTGACTACTAGGACGTTATTCATTCTGGTCAGAATCAAACTGAGTCTGCTCTGCACATTAATCTAAATTGTTATTTGCCATGGAATTTGTTCGAGCAGCTGGAACATGAAACCCGATCATGGTCATCATCACATAATCATCTTTATGCAAAAGGCATGCATTAATAACATCGCATTACCCGGCAATGTAATCAGGGTGCTGACAAGAGTTTTCCATTGTCTCGGACGCTATTTCTATTACATTAACAATGTCTAATATCCCGTAACTTTGTTATGCTACAGAATGCAGGCTTTACCGCGAAGTCACTTAAGAGTCATTAGCTTATTCTGTCAAATGAGACCAAAATGTTCTTAGTCATCCTCTAGATTGATGTAATTACAGACTTAGAATACGAAAATTTTGCCAGCTTTTTATCTGATGAAGGATTATGATCAATATAATTTAAATCCTAGTAGTGGAAAGCCCTAGATAGCGCTTTTCAAATTTCTTCGAAAGAGCTCACGCAATAGAATGCGCGGTTATGTATTAGATAGCCACAGCAGAGTAGTTGAGAGCAGAGGTAGAACGCGGCCAAGAACATATTAATCCAAGAGCTTGTTCATAAGTCATCGTGAGGACAACATTGATAGCAATGCTAGTGAGCTTTTACCAATGCACTCAAATGTATGTTAACGTCCCAGTATATCACTTTAACGCCAGATGCAAATGAATGGGCAGAAATTACCGTTAACCTTTGAGCAGGCTCATCTTAATATATAATCTCAAATGTGCTCCACCTGCTAAGTGGATTGTGTTAAAAAATGCTTAATGCCCGGAATAATTGTAGTGACAGAAACCGTTTTTAAGACTTGTAACAGATACATCGCTTTGGAATCAATTGTTGCGTTTAGTGAAGGCTGTTTTACCTAAAGTCACGGTGCACTCATAATAAAACAGAAGTTTCCAACCATCCCAATTTATATTTCATGTATTGAAACTCTGTGTTTAAATAGCCATGTGTTACTCACCGATATGCAAAAAATGCTTGCATCCAGTGCAATTAACTAAAAGAATGGAAGCTTGTTTATACCAAAGTATTTTATATTGCTATGCGCACTGTTATGGGAAACGGGGATTTTGGCTCAACTTGTGGTTTCAAAATAGACAAAGCGCAATTGACACAAAAAAGTCCTTTCGCTCCTTAGCAATATACTGACTGGATATGGCGATCTCCATGCAACTGCTTCTCGGACACTTTAAAATTGTACCTTAGCTGGTTTTCTGCTCGATCCTTCATAATTCCGCTTTGAGAGAGCGATTGCATTAGGCATGGCCCTAACGGAATTTAATGGTGATGCTGTCAAAAATTAACACACTACCGTTCAGATTGTGTACTTGTATAGCCTCAATAGACATTGCGCGATGATAACTGAAGTTATCCAAATTTTTCTTAGGAAGTCATATTCCCGCATGATCATACAAATTTCGGAATTCCATGCTCCTTTTCCAGCTAGTGTAGGCTTCGCAAAATATGATGATATATTCGATTTGATCAGTAGCCTTTCGACATTATATTCTTACTATTACTTGAATAGACCTTTAGTGTACATAAGTTGTTTACTTGCAAAACCGAATAGTATCGCTTACAAATTTTGGCGAAATTTAGGGTCTTGATGCAGTCGTCCGTTCAGAGACAATACCCAAAAGTCGGATGTAAATTCAAACGCAACCTCGAGTGTGACGGTTTTGCTTGGAATACTTTGACTGTGTTTGAGTATATAAGATTGAGATGAAATAGTTATTGCTAGCATTTTGTTGGGAACAATTTACGATTTACATATTAAAGAATATGCTCATGGCTTCAGTATTTTGTAACAAGAATGCATTGAGAGTACCGTCATTCTGAAAATATTAACTACGTTCCACAAAGGTTATATTGATTGAACACAACTTGCTAAGATCGCGCTGAATCTGTGGGACAACTTTGCACTTGTTATTTATGTATCCCGGTATCATATCTGAATATCCATTTGAGTATGTTTTTAAAACGCTTTACTGTCTAAGAACATACCGTTCTCCAGGCAAATTACAATTATCATGGTTAGAGTGGACATTCCAGCGGACCAAATATAACTCAATCGATTAAGGTCCTGATTATTGTTTCCGATATAAACAAATGAGCTTCAGTCGTTTTGCTTCGAATAAGCAAGGACACCTTTAGGTCCTCAGCCATTTCTACATCCACTTCAGATATGAAAACCCACTTGTTTGCGTCTTGCGATAATTCTTTAAAGACAGCTGCAAGGGAAAGCTCTGAAATGAAAAATGTTTTAGTACTTCGAGAGGTATCAGGCCATCCTTTGATTATAACTGGAACCTAAGGATATACACAATAAAATTCGGTTTCCCCCTAATTGTCCTGCTCTTAAGTGATGACAGTTTCAGCAAAATGTCAAAGTGGATGACCGAAATATTTTCGACCATGGTTGTGACAACGGTTGGCAAAAATATCTGGCTCTGGGCGACTGCAATTATTAGGTCTTTTTAACCGACGGACAAAAGAGAAACTATGTGGTGAAACTTGCATGAATTATTATACAAGCCGGGACACGTAGAAGTGAGTATTTTTCACGTGCGAAAAGCAGAAAATTTCTGCGTCTTGCGGATGGAGATAACTAATAAATGGGTGATTGCTTTGTGTGTTTTAGCGACTATTGTCAAGTTAGTTTGGAACATAGTTGACTAGCCTTTCGTTCTGGTAAACTAATCGGTTATAGCATATATATTACTTTAGTCCACTTTTATGCAGTTGATTACTATTAATCTGTTACGAGAAGTAGTCGAATTGCTAATTATTTAAGTAACTGTACTATCCTATATAGAGTTTTCATCGAATTACTGAATACGAAGCACGTCACTTTGATGTAAATATCAACTATGTTTGCTTTCTTAGCTCAGAACTTACAAGTGATAAATGAACAAGACAACTGTCATCACGAATTGCTGTCTTCTCCTGAAACACATCGGTGTAGACATTTGTGAGGCCTGGTCTAGTTGTGTTCATCACCACAGGCTGCGATTCAGATAGCGAATATGACTGACTTACATATATCAAGTGGTTTGGAAAACTCCTATGAACGGGACAACACGGGTCATGTTTTGTCAGCTTTGCCATCGTGGAACTGGTGGAATGGTCAAGCGGGGAACAACCATGTTTCGTTCCCGCAACATACGCTGAGATAATAGCATCAGTGTTATCTGAAACGCGTTGTTTAAGCTTGCAATACGATGGAAGAATTGTGGTATAATTCCTTTCATTTGTAAAGATGATAAATTCGATTTCAGTGAATTTTTTTCTCCTGTTTCTCGGTAACGTTCACTGTATGCTTCCATGTCATGTTTCGGAATTTGTGAACGTTGTAACGAACAACGTTTGCAGCTCATGTGTAGTCGAAACGCCAGCAGGTTTATTGAACAGAACATCACACATCCGGCACCAGCTAAGCAGAAGATAAGCCATATGTTGACCACAATTATATTTGAAGTTTGTTGTCTTGATGGCGGATTGATTGCAGTCCAATTGACCATATGCACTGGCGTACCAAATATCTGCGGTTGACCTATCACAAGATGATACGTTTGATGATTGCTAAGTTCCGAATGGCTGGAGGAACCGTACTTCGCGTAAACATTTTGCTGGTCACTGTACTGATTGTCAAATTTACTATATTTTACTTGTCTGAATTGGGTGTTTGAAACCCTACAATAAATTACAGGATTTATATGAATACAAAATCCTAATACTCCTTGCAGTAAACAAGAGTACTACAAGTTTATGGCATCGGTACTCATAGAAGTTAGATTAAACATATATGTTAGCTTCACATTCCACGAAGTTATTATGTAGCAAATTTGGATTAAAGCGCTTAGACTTTCAGGGTTTTGATTTCAAATATCTTACAATACATGCAAGAAGATGATGGTAGTGGTGAGGCTATAACGTAAGGAAAATGTATGGTATGCTCAACAGTAATGTTTTATATTTATATACTGCGGCGTAAACGTTATAATGACTGCCAAAATGGGAATAATGGTTAGTGAATTCTGGTACTTGTAATTAAATTCGTATATCAGAAACTGCACTTAAATATAGATTACCGTTTTCGTTGCGGCAACATCTGATTTTATGGGTATTCTAACCTCTATTTTACACAATCAATTTTACATTTCTGGCAAACTTGAACACCGTATATCACTTATTATGTAACATATGACGATAGGTATTTGACTTATCCGAATTGTCAGCTGACTGCGACGAACAAAAAATATGGCGATCAATTTTATCTGGTTTTTAATCCGCCTCCCATGTAATCTGGTTTAATGAATTAACTAATATCGACGTTAGCAAGCTTTACAATTATCTCATTTGGTATTTGTCGAAAATGCTTACTGTCTTTTCGCTAAATCAAACCAAATAAGTATAATGCTTAAATCGTTTCAAGTAAACACAGTTGAATGGGTGGTGTTCCATGCCAACATTTAAAATGTATCTCATTTAAGCGATGCACATCCCGTTACACTGTTTAACCGGGAAATTAGTAATTAGGTGATTAACAATATAACGCCTTTATTTATGGCGGGGACAAATTGCTAGCCTGTTTATTTACATTAGTTTAAAAAAGCTTCCTTTTATTTCGATCACGACTAGTTCCTATTGACACTAATGGATACACCCAAACTTATACAATAATATAATTGCTTAAAATTTTCTTAGCGCTGCTAATTTTGTTTTTTTGCCTTTCATTGAATATCACGCCAAACGATGAATTCATGATGCGCATACGTGGAGTATACTTTTCAGTAATGCTTTCCGTCTGTTCCCAAAACTTTTTTGAATTTTAACGCAAGTAGTTAGCTGCTTGTATGCGATGCTAAGTAACCTCAACTTTAACCTCAGCTATCCAAATATAATAAACATTCCTGGTCTTTTGGAATGCGTGCTTATTCCGTATTAGTTTAAGTAAGCCATTTCACTTGGACGTCGGAAGGTTTAGGGCATTATTTGTTTTGTCTCACTTACCACGTGAATGGACTTCCCGGCGCCGGTCGAATGGAAATGTTTTGCATGTGCCTAACAGTACCGTAAGTCGTTACCTGGACAAATGATTGGTGGTAAATTCCAGCTACCAGATCGTTAAGCAGCAACCCGTTGTAGTACACACCTGAAACCTAAAACTTCACTTGTGAGCTGCTTGATGGTGAAAATTTAAATGCTTACAAGAACTACGTGATTCTAAAACAAGATGATATGTAAGATAATTAATATTCTTAATAGAATTTGTTGTTCTTCTTTCCTTGTAGTTTGCCCAAAATCTGCCCTGCATTTGCTTCGCTCTATTAAACTCATTATCGATTTGCAGTACACCAGTCAACCTGCTTGATATGAGCTATGTGAGTTTACCTGATATATCAAGGATAAAAATACAATGATTTCTTTAGCAACAGGTGAGAGTCGTACCAAGTTAATCAACTATGACTGTACCTTCGCAAGGTGTATTTACTAATTTATTCGACCACTTTTGCACTTACCAATTAAAAATACTGGGATGAAACAAGGCACATTTATTAGTGGTACAACGCCAAGCCATATAGTTTCTTGTTGATTGAATTTTCTACCTGTTTTTCCTGTAAAATAAGAGAGGTGCAGTAAATTAAGTTTTAGTTCGCTAACAAGGAAAACATGTGAAATTGCTGCGATTGGAGTGTTACTATAATAGGTTTTTTATAGCGGTTTCCCTAAATGTGCATTCACAACGGTACTCATTTTTGTTTAATAAGCTGATTGTCTGATGATATCGCAAATCGTAAGAACGTCTTAATTTAAATGATGTTTAAAACTTTAATTCCTATTTCAGAAATCATCTATTGTGCCTGGAACATAGCTTGACCGCCGCAGTGAGGGCAATTTATTATGCGATGTATTATAGGTGCATATTTTGTAAGTAAACTGCTGCATACTGTTTAATCCAAACATAATGTTTCCGGTAGTAACTGCATTCACTTGGCTTGTTTATAACTATGTTTTTTATTTGAAAAAATTATGGCAAACAAATGACACTGAAATTGCTGTATTCGTGCTACTGACATGTTGAATTGGATATACTGTGCGAAAATGTATGCCATAAGAAAGAACATTTTTCCGTACCCTGGAAGATTTGAGTAATCCTGATAAAATTTCTTAAATTAATATCACTTACCTTGCTTTTAATAATAATCAAAGAATTACCATATGATATGGCTACCAATATGCACACAAAGTTATGCAAACGCTTCAAATCTACTCATGCATTACACCGTTTCTTTGCATATCGACGCTTGTTTGGCGACGTCGATTTCATAAAGGGCATTCCTAGGTTTAATTTCGATACATTAATAACTATGATTCCTGAGTTAGTTATATTAATCTATAAAACAATTCCTATACTTCTTACCACCTTTGTGACCTCAGTGCAACAATGTCCACAGCAAGCTCAGCAGGGCTTGTGATGTTGCTGAGCAACCCGCACAGAACAAACTCAATTTGACTGCACATACACGTAGCAATTTGGCCAGTAAACCGAACATATAACACTCGGTAACTACTATCCGTTTACAAGACTTACGAACAATAAACTGTTTGTCTCGTTTCTACTAATTTGGCGAGCGCAGCTTAATTCTGAACATTCCATCCCAAGCAAAGCAAAGTCAATTGCCTCTATGGTTGCCCGAGTGGGGTGTAAGTTCCGCTTTCAAGAGTGCTGCTGCGGACAGCGCAAAACATATATAGTTCGATTAAAAACGTTACAATTGCTGTATTTGGCACTTAAAACACAGCTATTATTCATATAAACCTTTCCGAAACTGCCGATTATATTTGAAGTTTGGTTAAGGGGATTGAATAAGAAATGTCTCAATTTGCTCGTATTGTTTTCAACCATATTTTGTCAAACATTTGGAATATTGTGTTGATTACTTTGGTGAATGATTATATTTCTCTGTCGAAAGCAATACATCTCGTAATACAAAACCTGTTTAGTTTTTTTCTATTACACATGCGCGGAAATTTATCAGTGACATTTTTTTAAAGTCTAACCGGAGAGATTTTTCGCGAGTTTTATGAAGATTGAATAATATGACGCATATAAAATGTAACCTACATGTATACGTGACTTTCGTTGTAAGATTTTACTTAAGAAGCGCTTCAAGCAACCCGTTTATTAATCCATGTAACTGCATGCGTTTCTAGATTTAACGAAACGCCAACTCATTTTGTCAAAGGCAGACAATGAAGTAGTAACAGTGGCGGTCGATAACGATAATTCTGCCAATATAAAGCCGGTTCATCTAAAATGACGACAAATCATAATCATTGTACAGTTGCTATGAAAATAGCCTTTACTTTATGTGACTTTAAAAGCGTACTTATAGACGAAATTAGGGCAGTTAAGAATTCAGTAATAAACTTAACAATGCGCCGTTTTCAAACAATGATCGTAACCATGGATACTAGAACGAAATACGTGAAAAAGCTCTTGGAAACTGAAAGGTATAAAATTGAAACCGTTTGCATTAAAATAAGATTCCACAATGGACTTGATGGTATTTCCCATACCGCTATATGACTTGGAGAGCATAATGTACCATTCATCAAGTTGAGCATCTGTAAACGATCAGAAATGCAGGTGTGGTCAAAAATCAAAGAAAAATTGCCTGAATATATAGCACTTGGTTAAAAATTTAAGAAAGTACAAATGGTGTATATATAAATTTATTAAATAAACGTAATGCTAAAAAGCCCGCTCCTAATATCTCAGAAGTATGACCATCTACTAGCCAATTTTAAGGAAATAGTGACCACCGAAATCACTACAGTTGCGGTGAGCATAGCGGGCTGTGCAACCCAATCATCCCCTTTGTTGCTGCTCCCATCCCGCAAACAACTGATAATAACACAGTAAACAGCACGACACCTAGAGTCCAGAACATCAACAGCTGTTCCAATACCACACGTGGCTCAAACTTGACTAAAGCGGTTCCCAGTTCAATCGGAGTAACTACACGTAAAGCTAATTCTAAACTCCCGACGGAGTGCGTAGAAAATGAGCAAGCCGGTACTAACAAAAGTTGGATTACGGTTGCTTCCAATAGAACTGTCATTTAATAGTAACATCACCCCTAACTGGTTCAAAAACTGAGGAGCGTAGCGGAGTTGTCCTATTGAAAACACCACCGGTTTCTTGCGTTACATCTCCAAAGCACTTCAATCACTAACCGCGATATGTCGAAAGGCGTAAAGAAACAACCACCTGTACTGAGCGTACTGTGCTCCAATATCCCAGAATCAAAGTCGAAATCAATAGGAGGCAGGCAGTTGGATGACCTCAACTAGTGGGATATTGTTGATAACCTGATTGGAGTTGTACTGAGACCTGTATCCGTAGTGCGTATTAAACGACACCCCAACTCTAAGCATTTCGGAGAGCCAAGACTTTTGCGCGTTGTGCTGAACTCCATCACTGAAGTAGAATCATTACTACTATCGACAGGTAGTCTCAGAAATGAACACTGCCCCATCCGTATCTTTCCAGACATTCCATGAGGCGAGCGTTATCGAGTTCGCCGCAACTTAGACGAATAACGGAAGGAAACTTCAACCAGAACCATACTTCTACATGGGGTTCCTGAAACTAGGGCATGTGATAAGCACGAATTAACAAATGATGATAAAGAACATTGGTGTTATATTCCTGAAACACTCTGCTTGGATAATGTGTTAGCGAAATCCGTGTCACGGCTGCGTACCTCACCGAACTACATAGGAAGCGGCCCGAGAGCGTTGAAGATGGTCCTTCATTCAAAATATATGGCAGCACGGATGCTAAAAAGTTCATACAAGTTCCGTTGCAGGCGGCCATCTAAGGTTCGGCTGAAGACAATCCGCAATATGACACCTAGAGATGATATGTCACTCAAAAAACCAAACGCGATAGGATCTGTTAAAGAACAACGCACCAGTAGTGTGTCGAATGTGCCCATAAAACCTGTAGAAGATTATATTGACCAGAAACCTTACACTGTACGTCAAAGATTAGACACGGGACTAATTACACCTACAATGAATAAAACGTTAAATCCTTCTCCAAGTACACACCAAAAAACACGATTATTTGCCAGCCACTCACTGGTCGGCGAAACTTCACTTATGAGTTGTCCAACCTCCGAAACAGCGCTTAAATCAGAGAAACTTTCATGTGTGTACGCTAACGCCAAAGGGCTCCTAGTCAACTTACAAACTTCGACTACACCAGGTTGCGCATGCTTAGGACCTAATTTCTATTACCGAATCTTGGTTAGACAAAGTGGTGTCTGATGCCTAGTAGGAGATAGCCGGAATGCCACTCATCCGGAACGACCGCCCAAGCCGATGATGTGGGGTCTTCCTCTACTACCGCAGACAGCTACAGTGTATAATAGTTAATGATCGGGAAACATAAGTTACCGACACACTCTGGTGCCGTCTCCGACTTTGAACAACGACGCATGTCTCGTAGCAGTCGTTTGCCGCTCCCCATCATCCACTACGGAAATGGATTTCCGATTGAACCGTGGTCTGAACAGAGTAACACTCACTAGGTACAGCCATATTCTCATCTCCAGGGACTACAGTTTACACGATCTGGAGGTTTCGGCATCACCAAGTACACAGTTCAAAGCTGACTTGAATGAAATGATCGCTGCTACTCCCTTGTATAATCATGTCACCATGCCCACTAGATACAGGATAGCAGACAAACCATCTATATTGGACCTTGTGCTCAGTAATTAAGAGCTCATGGTTGACAAGTTATTGATGGATAGTCAATTAGATCTCAGTGACCGTGTAGTGATAACGTTTAACTATGTGTGTTATTCAGAGTATCCATCCGAACACTTGGAACTGAATCATACAATCACACGCTACCACGAACTGAAAGAGCTGGCCGACGCAGCTGCTTGGAAATTCTTAAAATATTCCCCTTGATAACGTTTGGGCAGTGTGTGACAATAGACGCAGTGACCTCATCAACATAACATCAGAAAACAAGCCCCATCCTCCAGCATAAAAGCCATCGATTCTAAGAAGCAGGACTCGAATTTGCCTAGCGAAACGAGATGCAGCATGGCGTGGCTACAGTATTAACCCCGAATTCGAGGATTTGAGCAATTTCTTGACTCATCGCAACCATTGCACTGCACATATCCGTAAGGACAAAGAACTTATCAACAGTGCCTAGCCAAAAATTCATGGCAAACAACAAACAACTCTATAGGCCTGCCAATAATCTTCGTAAAGTAAGTCATGGTATCCCTCCACTTTTCACGGCAGACATTAGAGTACAACGCGCTGAAAAAACAGCTAAAACCCTGCGGGTACAATGCGCCTCAGTTTTCGAACTCGCAGCATCTACCTGTCCCATAATGTCCTGCACATTACCGACACCACTCTTTACACATGTAATTGTCAACCCATCAATAGTGCTAAGGAAATTACTATCACTACGTGAACATGGTTCTCCGGAAGTAGACAACATCCGTTCGAAGTCAGTGAAGGCTGTGGCCAACAAGCTAGCTGAACCACTGTCACCGTTCTTTCAAAGGTTCTTTGA